TTTCTATTTAACCAGTTAAATTCTACACTGACTGAGGATAAACCCCATTCTCGTTCACAATTTTGATCTTGCATGTTGTAACCAACCAAACTGAAGCGGGAATTATTATTCACACAATCGTAGCGTATGATGAAGGGCGTGTTTTCGCTGGCTTACATGAAAGATGTAAAGTTTTCTACGATGAAAATACCACTCCATCATTCTACGGATATGCCGAGTGTATGGCAGACAGTCATGATGGAAGAAAAATCATAATATAGCAAAAGGCATACCTCCTATTAATTCTATGATAGAAATTATCCCAAAATATCTGCAAGTGTGTGACTAAATAAATGAAGACAACCGCAATTCCTGATTAAACTCAGATTGCTTAAAAACGTGGAGCTTAACCTCAGGATTCTACACTAACCAAAAGATTTTGAATCCATGATACACGATTTCCTTTAGCCAGTTAGATTGGTCGCTTCAAACTGAGAAACATAAGTAAAATCCTTATCACTTCTTCTTTGCTACTGAGTCAATGTTCGGAAGGAAGATTCAGACTTCATTTGATAGTATGTATCCACAAAGAAGAAGACGAGATCATAAACACAAGCCGATGAGAATTGAACGTCAGGTTACTAATGGGTTACCAGTGTATGTACGAAACTTCCAACGATGGAGTTATTTATTCTCGGGGGAAGTGGCATACTCTGAATCACAAAACGTCAGAAAATCTAGTTTTTCTACTCGTTGGGATATTACAGATATATTAACTTATTTATACATCATAAATTGCCTGCAGTTAAACGTCTAAACTATTCTATTTCAAAAGTTAGTAGCTCAGCAGTATCATGTTTTCTGTAAGGCTTGACATTTCTGGCCAAGCATTATTGTGGAGCACCACAAGAAGACGAAACACGTATTCAATGCGGCTTATATTTTAGTGGTTCTTTGCATGTATTTACATAAGTTTATGACGAAAAAATTCTTAAAATAAGTGATATACCTTTAGGAGAAGTTAGGTAAATAACTTAGGTTGAGATACTGATCTTTTTTAATAAGTATAAACGGATGGATAACCTCTCACCTTATTCGTACTACTCAGGTTGTATATTATACTTGAATAAGTTTTCACGACCAATCACATTTTTTTGTCCGATTCCCTATACACAAATCTGTTTTTATCAACGAATGTCATGTAAATCAATAGCCGAAAGATTTTGAAATATCCCAAGGTCATCAGATTTTACTACATCACTTCTGGCTCATCGACATGCTTGGTAAAAATAAGTCTTAATTCGAACCATATTTCCAAGTGCTCATTTGCATATATCGATACTGATCAGTTAACTAAGGTGAACCATTTTAGATCCAATATTCCTGATAAACTGAAATCAGTTAAAATGATACTTATTGTAATGAAAGCCTCAACACCGACTTCTTAATCACTTCCTAGTCCCCAGAAATCTATTTTTGAACCCGGGCAAAGAAGAATAGAAATATGGAAGAAGTACTGCTTTGAAGATAGGATAGAATCATATTCGACTACGAGACAGTAGAAGAGTATGGGAAACTTGCTTAAAATGTTATAAATTCGGTTGTTGGCAATCAAGATGATAAAAACATGATCCATTGTTTTCTAGAATTCTGCTGATTGATTAACTTATGATCTAGATTTGCCTATATTCTGAGGATTTTTCGGAGGGATTATCAAGGGTTTCAAATATGGAGGATCATTGAACATCAATAATCACCAAACAGATAAATTAATAACATTTAAGACGTCTCCACAATTCGTACTCATGATTTCCTGTGTTTATACAGTCCTATCTAGCATGTATTCTTTAAAATGACCCTGAAACTATTATTGCTTCCGTATGTATAGATAAATTCACTTTGAAATTTATTACATAAAAACAATTGATAATCAAAAATACACAAGATTTTTACACTATAATCTGAAAATATACTACTAATTGGATATTTCTAAAAACGTATAACAAACCTCTTTCCCATTAAAGTAACCTTGAAGAACAGATTTTTTTACATATATTAAAGCGCTTCGATTCAACCCATTTTACACTTTTCCATAACACTATTTACATACGTACACACACATAAACGTAAATGAAAAATCGATAAAAAGGAAGACATTCACAAAATTAAAAATGAATATGAAGTGATTAAACTGATGAAGATAAGGAAGAATAGGCCAAACACATTATTCAACATTTTCATAATAAAATAAAAACAGATACACACTGACGCGATTGCAATGAATTTTGACTAAATGATCCGATTAGTAACTCTAATTTAATCTTGTAAAAATTTGCAAAAGAAAAACAGAACAATATATTTTGTGCAAACGATTCCTATTTTGAAAGTCCACTGGTTAGTCACAATCATAGACTGATGAATTGAGTTGAAGTTAAACTGATTTTCACATATGTAGGTTGTGCTGAGCACAGACCGATCTCAGTTTGAGTATCAATGAAAAATGGAGGACAGTGAACAGCTGTTTTGAGTAATTATGGGACTCTCTAGCAATGTAACCTATCCACGGTTGTAAACAGGGACTTCTGGTCTGACACTGAGCTTTATTACACGCCAACTCGGTGAACCGAAAGTCGGTCTCTTGCTGGTAGGCCTGAAAGTAGTGGGTTCGACCCCTAGCTGGATCATGCGTGCACATTGTTGAGGAATATCATACTATAGCAAAATAGCTATGTGGCGCTTACTGACATTTTATAGTATCCCAAATAAAAGCAACCAGCAAATTCTATCGGACTCTGAAAACTCCCTCCAACTAACTTTTACATATATCTAATTTTAATAGTATTTCCCAGTTATTCTCAGTTTCACTTGTCATTTAAATAAACATTATTTTTAAAGACAATGTGAATCTGTGTTTTACATCAGGAAGAAACTTTGGTTAGAAAAATATTAAAAAGTAGGAAGGACCGGAAAGCTACCTTGTCCTACTATAGAAACCAGTAGTAGGGAAAAATCATAATACATCATCAAGGACTGAACACAGAACCTCACGTTCTTGGTGCAAGCACATTTTAATGGGTAGCTGTTAGTTCTCAGTTTAACAGTTCACAGTGATAACACCCTGATAAATAAATAAATAGATTTCAATGGTTAAGATTTTTATTTATTTATTTATTTATTTATGGCTTTATTATTATGTGTCAGTTGAAGCTAGACCACCATGGAAAACCTGGAAGCACTGAACGGCCGTTTCGTCCTATTATGGGACTCCTCAGCAGTGCGCATCCACGACTTCGCCCCTGAGAGATTCGAACCCAGGACCTACTGGTCGTGAATGCGCACTGCTGAGGAGTCCCATAATAGGACGAAACGGCCGTCCAGTGCTTCCAGGTTTTCCATGATGGTCTAGCTTCAACTGACTCATGATCTTAACCATTGAAATTACTACAATCTCCACAAAAAACCCCTTCAGATAGATAGATAGATAGATAGATAGATAGATAGATAGATAGATAGATAGATAGATAGATAATGTGGGATAACTAAAGTATCTGGTGATACTTAACGACCTGGTATAAATTAGTTTTATTACATGCATCACGAGCTGACTTAAATGACACACAATCAATCCGATGTTCAAGCATAATCGTGGTGACCATGAAACCCCACCCAATGCGGTCCCACGGATGAATTATTATTACTCAGATGTCCTCAGTTAGTTTGCCAGATGATGTCAGCATGTGAAGAAAAACTCAAGAATGTAAAGTTTGACTGAATGGATGACTTTATGCGATTTCTAAAACGACCTGGAGAAATTCTTGTTCTGCCATCGTACTTAGTGATATCCCTACACCCGTCAGTCCATTCGAGCTAGCCATCTGGTCGCCAGATAAATGAAGGGTGTATCTCGTCGGCTCCCCGTTTTGGCAAGATTAGGTTAGGTGAAAGACCACATTAGGATCCTGTTTGCCTGCTTCAAAGACACAGAATACATCAATGGTATGAAGTTCTAGGGTCTTAGCCAAGGAGACTCGTTCCAAAGTATAGTCTGGAGAGAGGTTTCAGTAGACTTGGGACAATATTTCGCGCACTGGAATCGTTAGCCATGGTGATACTTGAGGAAGAAGTCAAAAGAGGAATTTTAGAGTTGGAAGTCGATGTAGGATGAATAATAGGTATTGAAGAAGGAGATCGATTATGAATTTAGTGATCTTGAGTGCTGTTAGAGGTAAAAGGATGGTTATCACTGTTGGTATTTTACTGTTGGTGATATTAAGGACTGAGTTCGATCAATATCAGCTGTCATATGCATTAAGTGGACCGCCTCAATATTGCCAATCAGTGATAATTTTTTAGTAATAATGGATAGTGGCCTTTCAGTGGAATTCAAGACACGCGCTTCGTTCTGCACACGACTCGTCAGTTGTATGTGACTTTATCCAAGTCCTGATATTTGCACTGAAGTTCGAAACTGGTATCTTTCTCTCTAAACACCCAACTTGTTATCTACTGAGTCATTTTACATGAAACCCATGAAAGTCATTCATTCTTTAATCATGCAAAAAGAATTCGAAGGTATTTTTCTCCATGTTTATTGGCTCGTCCCATATATCAGAAGGAGTAAGCATTTTGCTTGAATCTGCTTTTACACCATCTCACGTTCACTGTATCATGAAGCAACAGGCTTTTTCTTACTGGTTTAAAGGAATGAATCTCTAAATGAAGGTATCTTCTACCGAAATATTCATAGGGTGAATACAAACAGGAGTTACGTTCTTCATTTCGCGCTAAAATTTAAAACTCGTGATTGTGATTGTGGTTGGCTTAACAGTCTCTCATAGTTTCACTAGAGCTCGATCACCCAAACATTTTATTTTTCAATCTAAACACATATACTACTGACATGATTTGTTCGTTTTCTCTAAAAAATAATCCTTGTTCAAACTGTGCAGAAGAAATTTGATTGGTTGCGAAGTAATTTCGAATCAACTAACAGTTAATCAATCATATTATTAATTTGCAAATCTGCACATATACTGTGTGCTAAATTAAAGAATTAAGAAAAAGAGTTTTGGATAGAAACATAAATTTACATGTTTCCTTTTTGTTCATTTTAAAGATTATTTATTCATTCACTTAAACATTTATGCATTAAGTATCTGACATATTTCTTCTTTGTCATTTCTACCTATGGTAGCTTGAATAATAAAACAAGTTTAAATAGTGGATCAATCAATTGTAGAAATTTTTCCGGTGAAATTCACAATATTTAAACAAGCCAACTCAAATTATCTTTTGTATTATCAGTTCCCTACTTAGCAAACAAACAAAATAATCATGTCCATAAGAACACCTTATGAACGTTTACGTACATTTCGCTCACAGATATTAAAATATATTCCAGAAATTCAATTACAACCACCACATACAATTAAAAATTACGGAAATTGTCCATATTTTTGTAAATTTCATCTTGGCACAAAAGACTTAGTTGAAAAGTTCAACGGTGATATATTACCATCGTCTAATAATACTTATAGACTGTCAAATGTACCGAGAGAATCGATTGGCACACATTCAGATGAGATGAAATTACAAGATTTTCAGTGGTTAATGAATAAAAAGTTAACATGTGTTTTATTATGGCTAGGTGTAATCATTTTAATTGTTGGAGTAATTGCATTACAGATTGCTAGTTTTTTCTTGCATAAACGACAGTAAGTTTTCCATGTTGTTAACTCTTACTATAACCATATGATATTTATTTACATTCTCAAAATGTATGATCACTATAGAGAGAACAGTAAACATTTATTTCATTCTTAGTAGTAGTATAGTAGCGAGCTACAGTGTAACGCTCAGCCTTTGTGAGGTTCTAGTTTAGCTTAAAAATAGCTTATGTGCTGGGAGAGTGTTAGAAAAAGGTGAGCCGACGACTCTATGAACGTGTACAGTGTACCTAAATTAAAGAAAAAAGCAACCGACAATAATCAGATATAACATAAGCGTGAGATTCGGACAATCTGTTAATCGAGACTAGAAGTTGATAGTGTAAGATTTCAAATGCGATACAACAATGATTCTTAAAATGACGTCGGTTGGTTTAAGCAGGTTATTAGCGATTTAGAAAACAGTCCTGTTAAATAAATTGTTGGTGGAAATGACAATAGTATTATTACGAAATATTAATAAATTTTTCATGATTATTCAAACTTTTGACGTATTCTGCCAGTTGTTTTGCTTGGTAATCGAAAAGAAAGTGATATAAATTTTCATCTATTCGGCTATAGAGCTTTTGTAACTAGGATTAAGGATTTGTAGTTAGTATCATTGAATTTCATTTGTTTTCTCCGCAGTTATTTTAACTGGCTTGTGTTTGAGAGTGAGACTTTGAATCAGATGCTTAATGAAAACCAAACAAAGACTGGAGTTACCCATTTATTTAACTCCAAGGTAAATCAAAATGATCGGGAGTATACTCATTTATATATTGATTTTATTCACATTTGATGATTAGTCAACAACTATCATGCGTAGGGTGAAACAGACAGCATTACTACAAAACCCAAGCTACATATCATACTGAAAGAATTTCATTCTAAATTAATACAAAAAAATACTATCTTGCGACCGCCTTAGCAATCTTCAATAAAAATCACACTAAAATAAATCAATGTTACATTGAAAAAAATATTACACTGAAAATAAAATAAATATTGCACTGAGTGACCAACATATATTGAATTACAAAAGGAAGTAATGTTGAGTGGGAATCACAATGAGCTAAAAGCATAATTTTACCTTTTCATTCTGTAACAGAAGTTCAGATTAAGTGTCTACAGTTAGGATTTTCATCGTGAAGTAATATCACTTATCATGTAGAAAACTTTCTAGCCCTTATGGATGAAAAATTTTCTCACAGAAACCTAAGGTTTGATTAATTTGTTCATAAAGTGTAATACCACAATGTTTCAGATTTAGTTCACAATAAAGGACTAAGATTTATCGATAGTGTCTATTTTAATGTTCTATGCAGTCTACGTAGAACAAATTAAGCTTCCGTTATGTTTAATACTGTTGTTTATGCTCAATGATGACAAAAAATAAGTCTTCGTTTTCATCTTAAACATTCTGAGCACTATGTAAAGATATTTCTATCATTCACTTTATGGAATGAGAGATAAAAATTATCCAATCTCTAATTTCGCACAAGTCGAAATACGTTTCTTTGATTTTTACTGACCCTTCCCTATAATATGCTTTTGCTCATTCTAGTTTCCTACTCCATAACATTGTCTTTTGCTTCATCATTCACTGAGTGAAATAAGATTCAGTAGTCTAGATATTTTTAGTTCTGTTAAATGTCACCTTGACTTATCATTCATTTCATTGACGATCATTTTTTCTGTGACGATTACCAACTTGATTGGTTTTATAAGCTATAGCGGCTGAAGTTATCCACGACGTATTCAAGTATGGCAGCCCCAGTACTTTTAATCATTTCCCCTTTAATTAATTAGGCGAAGGCTGAATATTAGAGAGTAACTTTCACTAAGAATTTTATTTCAGGCTCTAACGTTTATTGTATTTGTGTTTTTCATATGGGATGACGCGCTACATGTTAAGATCAGACAGTTTCAGATAACTCTAGCCACATAAAAGGAAATCTTAAATGAAAGATTGAGGTTTCAGTCGACTATCTTAACCAGTAGTTGGAGACATTATTTGACATAGCTTAAAATCGGTCACAATCAAACAGGTGCATTCATTCTTTATCTTACTTTAAAAAATAAGTCCCGAAATCTCCATATACTTTTTTATTCTGTCTATATTTAATCGTTCCCCCTACAAGTAGTGATAATATCGCTACTTTTACTGCGGTGTCTTGATTTGACTTGATAATTTCATCCTTCTGTTCTGTGATGTAGTAACGTGTACTAATACACATCAATCGTAACTCTACATTACATACGATTTACTGATTGACATTAGAAAGTGTTGCGTTAAACTCACTTTACTCATAGTTCGTTAGTTCACATAGTGACATCGATTAGTCAATGGTAGGAATTGGTTTTCTTAATTGTTTTATCCTGTATTGATTAAAATTACGTCATTGGACGGTGACCCAATTAAGCGTCAACCACGAGACATGGAGGTTCTGAATTGGATCTCCCAACAGGATTATGGGTTGGTGCTAGTGAGGAGCCCCGAGTTAGGGAGAAACAGCTACCCAGCGTTCCTTGATTTTTAGTGGTGCTCCAACTGTGGCCAATCTGTGAAAAGTACAAACTATGAATTATTTTACTCTCAAACTGAATGTAACTTTATTGAAAAATGGTCCGGACTACTCATCATTTAATTTAACATTTTAGTTATTCGCTTTATTTACCCTTAGTGATTACATATTTCCCTAAGTTTCATAAGTACTCTGCCTATTCCTGTCACTATTCATTGAAAACGTATTTATTTCATTCTCTGATCATAACTTGTGGTAATAATATTCTAACAGATGTAGAACTTTATTAGTAAAGAAATTTGCGTAGACAGTTTAATTTCATAGTTTGCATCACAGATGTATACATATGTATGAAATCCATACACATGGCGGCCTGTTTGAACATCTGGGCTACCTGTTCTTGTTATCTAGGTATTTCAACAAGTTATCCTATTTTATTTGTTTTAATTCATCATTATGGCTATTAATCATATAACCATTCAGGTGCGCTTCTGAAAATTGTATAACCTTTCGTTGTACAAGTTATAATAGGCCCAATCAGAGATATCGTGGTTGCTGACAATATGCAGGGAAAAGAATGTGCATTATTTAGATGTCGATTTACTGGACTGCTAACTTCTAACTGGTGATCACTCAATATTTGTCGTCAGAATCAACCAAAAAGTAAGAAACGGAAACTTGTTGAAATACTTTATGCTGAGAATTACATGTTGCACCAAAAATACAATGAATAAAGCCAATAATAAAAATAATAAATGCATAATTTCCACAACTCCATTAGTTGTCCTTTACATGCTTCACGATTTTTTTCAATTCTGTTGTCATTACAACTACCCCCTGTTTACACCCCTGTTCTCTTCAATTCGATCTTCTTAATTTTCTACTGCTAGGTATTCCACTTCGGATTAGTGTTACCTACTACTTATATCTGTCAACATTAGTAGCATACACCATATATATATGATCTTGATAATATACGATTTTAGAGATAATCGATTTCCACGATACAACATTATATATACTCTTTTGCTAGATTGAGATTATCCACAATGGTTTCAATGTTCAAATAATGTTACATTCAGCATTTTCTGTCGTGTTTCCATTCAGTTAGTGGGAAGAATAATTTTCACTAGAAATCACATAATTTTCTCCATTATTTTCAATAATTTACGATATCTTATGTAATTAGAATATTGATCATTTCTGAACTTAAACATAGATTCCCACATTCTAGCCCATAGAAACCTTCGTCTTTTAAACCCTGAACAGAAAGAGAAAACGAGACCTTCAGAATAGCTTTATACTATGAAGAAAGTTAAGAACTGAAATGGAATAACTCTGTTCATATAATAACATCCATAAAATAAGCAAACTAGAAATTAAAACAGCCAATTAGATAACCGAATGGTCATTGAGGAAATATGAGTTAGAAAAATGTTATCCATGTTATCTTTTGTAGAAAGAAACTAACATTTATCATCAAGAAACTAAGCAACGCACGAGTACAAGTATATAACATTTAACATCTAAGACTTTCAGATCTAGAGCCAAATATGAAATCTTGGGATAATCATTAATATTTTCCTGTGTATAAACCTCATGAACAGATGTAAAGATTTTATTCCTACTGTCTACTAATTTTTTTCTATTGTCAAGTTAACTGTTTTCATCAAATACACCTGTCACTCAGTAAGACAACGTACAGCTGAGAAATAAATAATCGTACTAATTAGTGATTTGTGTTGTATCTGTAGAAATCTGTTTAATACACTAATTCACTCGAATATATCAATGCACATCTAAACATGTAAATCATTTGCTTATTATAATGTACATCTGCCATTTTAAAAAATCTGTGTTGTTATTTGTGTAGATTTCAATAGTAATCACAACGATACACCAAAAAAGGTATTCTACATATAAACAAATTGATATACAAGGTCAAAAACAAAATGTAGTAATAAATAGTAACATTATATACTTGTTAAACTATATACTACACTGGTTAATTTTTACGTGTAGTAAACAAACGATTATATATAGCCCTGAAATGATTCTACGAATAGAACTCGATGATAGAATTTCAACCTGTTCAGTTCATTAAAAAAGTATTGGACAGTAAGAAAGTATTCGTTTTTGGATGTAATGAATGTACTTTTTTAGAAATATTGATTTAGTTGAATGGATTATAGCTTAGAAGTTATCATACTTATGGGAATAATAAATTGAATGAATTTACAGAATTAGAGAAATGAATGAGATTGACAATGTTGTTTATTAAATTTTAATTCAGTAATTTATCTTAAGATTTATAGGTAATGAGTTCGATGCTATGTGGAATCATTGGCGAGTACTGACGACAAGCCACAATCATCGTTTTCTTTTATAGTCACTTTTAAACAGTTAACTACTCTCATTAGCTCACACATACAAAAATATAGCTCACATCCAAATATATAATTCGGTGAGACTATAATTTTTGGACATTTACCTACTTACTTGGGTCATAAGAGACTTAGAAGTGAGTCTAAGGAATCAGGATTAAGATTTTGAGTTAGGGTTAGGAATTAGAGTTAGCGTTGTCATCACTAAATGACATCAGCCATAAAGTTGAAATACTAAGTAGCCTTATGGATGAAAGAATTTAGCTACCAAATTCAAGACCTGCTATCTTAAATCTCATTGGTTCATCCATAGATTATAGTCCCTTCAGAAGGCACCTTAGGAAGTTTTAATGCAAAAGGCTGAATTATAATCTGCACTGATTATGTAACTGGATTGATTCAGACAGAGATAAATAGACGGTGATCATGAGTAGGTGGGAAATTCAACTACTCGTTATAGTCCACTTGTCTAGCTTACAATCTTCATGTGACTTTAAGATATTAAAAATTCTCATGTAGTGGATTAAAATAACATGTAAAAGCGGCCAATATTGTTTTCAACTAGATCATCAGGCTTTACTCTCTTATTTAATAATACGACAAGATCCCTTCGTGGTTAGGAAAAGGTATCATCAAAACAACAAACAGCTCTGTTTTATCACACTTGATCAATAGCGGTCATAGAAATAGGTCATAAATAGCAATTTATCGTATACATACTAGCTGATTTTATGGGTTTTGATCTGCTCTCTTACACATAGCAGAAGCTATAGGGATTCGAGCTAACAATCCAAGTCTTTGTGTTCATAAGAAATTCGTAACACTCTTGTCTCTTCCCTGGCCTAATGAACATTAATACACGATTTTATCCACTACTATTCTACTTGCTCCTTGTTTTTTTATTTTTCTTCACTCCCTTTCTTTCAAATACGTGCCTCACTGTCCGACTATCTGGACACTTCTTATTATGTAATTCTGTAACTTTTAATGAATGTTATTTAACTGTTTGTTTTTCCAAGTCTTTGACCTACTATTTAATATGAAACATTGATTCGAGCCTTTATTATTCTTATTACAACCAGTACACCTGTCATTACAGTATCAATCTGTACTTTTTACTTATTGTTTATTTATGCAATCTATTCCGCTGTTATCACTGACTTATAAACTGCTTTGATTACTTTAATAATTTCACACATGCATTTAGATATTATTTGTATATTGGAGTAAAGCCTGATGAGAATCGGATTGAAAATAATCTTTTTCGCCCATATATTATTCTAACTCACTATATGGGGATTCTTAAAGTTATTAGCTGATAATGTTAAAACTCTTTATCTATTGTTACTTTCTCTCTTTGGTAACTTAAATAGTTATATAACTGCCACAAGGTGGCGAGTGTTCCAAACGTTGTAATTTTCGGAACTACCTTACGAAAAATTATTGTTTGTAGTCTTATTGAATAATTATTATATGAAATCACTCAATGCAATTACTAAATATTTAGGATATTGTATTTTTTCATTCTCCTACTTGCCATCTTTTATTTAAAGCATAAACTGTTGTTGCATGTTTTGTCTCTTCCAAGATACTTCTCATTACTTATAGATCTATCTTTTAGTTCTCTATCACTTACTGAATAGTTATAACTATTTGTTGATGTGTGTTCAAGAATTAACCCTAGATTGTTGTATGAAGTTAAAGTGTACAAAAGAGTGTTCAGCCTGTTATTTTATTGTTCTACACTGCTTATCGAGTGAGCGAACATGGGAAAACTGCATTATAAATCAACGGCTGTTAAGTGTTATTCTCGGCTGTTAAGTGTTATTCTCGGCTGTTGTTTCACCATCATTGTGTCATTGTACCTATATAAGCAATCTAGGCGAAATAACCGACACTTGGACTAGATCATACAACTGTTCATTTGAATATGGCTGGATTAAAAAAGCACCAACATTATATTACGAGAAATCTATTTATTTTACCATTGCGTCAACGACTAGTCGCTATCGTACATGGGTCTTCACTATAGGTTACTTTTAACATGTTATCCCCTAACTAATTTTTAGTTTAATCCAATGTAAAAATCATTTATCCAAGTATAGGATTATGTACTCAGTCTCAAGTTATACACTTATACTGTCAGTTTGTGCGCTATCCCAATTAGAAGGAAGAATGATATGGTTTGAACATCCAGCCTTTTAATAATACATTGAACTTTGAGTTAATTAACAACTCATCTACTATGTAGAAACTAACTTCATCGATTAGTATTGGTTTGTAATTTCCTGTTGTTGATATGTAGGACTGAAATTGATCAGTTTCTGTTGTTATTTATTATTCGGACTCAGTAGCTTGGTGGATAAAATGGAGTTTGAAGAGAAAGGTACCGGGTTCGGGTCTTAAGTGTGAACATCAACACTGAAACGCATGTACATTCGGTTAACGAAGTTTTAAGAGGAAATGAGATGCGCTTCTTGAATTCCACTGTAACTACAGGTTGAATCAGAGCAATCACTTGATTGTACATATGCAGCAACATTGGTTAATCGTCTGCAGTCCTAAATATCAACAACAGAAAATTACAAACCTTTACAGCTTCAATGATTATTGTACAGGTTTGGATAATTTCTTATCTGGACTTATTTATAAAATGAATGTAAAGTGAAGTACGAATAATAATAATAATAATAATAATAATAATAATAATAATAATAATAATAATAATAATAATGAGTAAAATTCTGATTATCAGCAGCTGTTGTTACATATAAAACCGTCAGAATTTGTTTACAAATGTACAACACGATCTTGTTTACCTACTCATCTACTTATCAGTATTAAATGACAAAAAATCAAAAGAAATGATCAAATTTATTTTAATATAAATGTTAAATGGTGTATCACATGTGAGCTCATTCCTTTCTTGTGGATAGTTAAATTTTTTTATTGAAAAAACAAGATATAGCATGAAATACACTAGAGAAGAATTAAAATTGAAATGTAGAAAACTAGCTGTTTACCCTGTTATGAAGCTCCTCAGTATTGTGCATGCACGAACCCACGAAATATCGAATTCAAAGCCTACCAGAATTGTGCTTAGCGATTACTACACTGGACTCATAATCAATGGTACATGGGTTTAACTCCAGATGATTATCCAATATCACACTGATAACGACTGTCTCACACTCGACATGTTTGAAAACCCCCGGCCACATCAAAATATTAAGGTGTTTTCGTTTCGAGTTGCTAATTCTTGTTTGTTTTATATTCCGAGTTTTTTTAACATTCACTGTTTTAATAGATCCGTCTTACTGATTTCGGTATTTTGATCTTTATTTGATAAAATATTGATCAAGAATAAATATATTTAATGGTTTAGAATAGATTCAGCTATTATCTGTATTAATAATTATTTCAATGTCCAATTCTTTCAAGAACAAAGAATATCAGAGAGAACAACTGTTTTCGATAACGTTTCCATCATACTCTACAGTTAAATATCTAAAATTGCGATTGTTTTATGGAAGACAAAACACTAGGTTTCAGTTTCTAAGCAACCTTTTTTTGTTGGAAGTAAAAATACTTTCTTCTTCTTCTCCTTCTTCTTCTTCTTCTTCTTGTGCATCAAATGTGCATGAATTTCATAGTTTATTTTTAAGGATTTCAATTAATACCTTTTCATGACAAACTTCCAGTGTTAGTTATCGTTTCTGTTTGCACATATTTTGTCTCTTTTGAAAGGTAAGGATAACGACTCTTTATTGATGCTCAATAAAAGTGTGATATCTAGTATTTTCTTGTTTATTTAATATGTCAATCCTGCATATAAGAGTGTAGTTTCCACTGATGACTTCATTTTAATCATCTAACGCTTTCTATATATGTTTTCTGTGCACAAGTCACAGTAGCGCATTCCTACTAGCCGGATGAAAAAGCAAGAAAAAAATGAGAGATCATGAGGCGAAGTTGCCAGGGAAAGTTATGTATCTGTATGTGACATTCACCCATTAAATAAGTGGAAAAATGCTAGATGTTGAACATAAACTGAACATCGAGAGACAGACGTTCTACAAATTCAGGGGCACGTACCCTCCCCCTTTACGATTGGCTGACTCAATATGTTGTGGTTTCTCATTTTGATATCAGTAAGCAGTTGTTTATCATTCGATGAGATGATTTACAGAAATGTAACTAATTTGAAAGTAGTTGTCGTAAAAGTATAATATAAGAATGAGTCAATCAGGATTGATAATGGAACATTTATGCTCTTGCTCAAAATTTACAGCGAGTAGCTAAATTAATTTTGCATATTACTCACGAAGTTTACTATTAAAGCAAAAAAAAAATATTTTTGGCTATCGTAGAGTAAACATGATAGTATTACACGTATTAAATACTGTACTCTTTCTCACTAGGTTGTGCATAACATGCAAATGTATGATATCAAACAAACTTTAACGGGGGTAACACTATTTTATGAACTAAATAATCAAATAACTTCTCTTATATTTTTGCAAGAAATTTATTTGCTCATTTGTACATTATATCTTATGTGATTTCGTAATGAAAATCCTAACCGTAATCCCCTAATCTTACCCATCAACAATGTACAGACTCTTAAGAATTGATTTGTATCATTTCAAGAGTTCGAGGAGGCAGATGAGGTACGTCCATAAGGATGACT